AATGAAGGTCTACTATACAATGTTATCTGAGGATATTAATCGAAACCCAATTACTTTTCTAATCTATATTCATACAGTATATATATATATATGCAAGTCTCATCATCTCAACCAGATGAGTGTGGGGTATCAGGCTATAGTGGCTATGTGCTTCATTAGGCCAATTAAGCGATAGTACCATAATGCTATTAAGTTTAAGACTGAACAAAACTTTCAAGACAATATAGAAGTATCCGATTCTAAATAGACACAAGAGCGTAAGTTAAATTTCATATTTGGCTATAGTTCATTTACAAATATTAAAAAAGTAACTCATTCTAGCTGCATTCTAGGCCAATACGATCATATCGTCTTCCAACATAGGATAGTTAAATATTTGAATCCTCAAACTTTTTGCCCAAAATGCTTAAGGCAAAATATTACTTTCAAAGTGGCATGACCTACCATTTCAAAGGAAAAGTTCGTTGGAAACCAAGGGAGGATTGCCGCGTAGGGAAGAGTTTTGTATTATTTAAGAAGTCCTCGGCTTACATGTTCGTCGAGGTTAAAGGACGGTGAGCCGAGGATTTCTTCTCACAATACAATAGTCTTCCCTATGCAGCAATCCTCTTTCAGTTTCAGAAGAGACCCCATCATGAATTTTTTCGAACCAACTTTTCCTCTAAAATGGAAATTCGTGTCAGACTATTCCACTTAAAAATTATTAGAAACCAAGTTTTTATTAAATAATTTTAAAGTACAAGAGCCTGTTCTCCAAGATGTCCAAATACAGTTTTTTGTCACAGACGGCTCACATCACCATATATGCTAGGCAGTCCAACTATATAGCCCCCTAACTAGAGATCGATTTGATTAAACTTGAATAGTTCTAATAGATATGCATAAATTTAGCCAAGGTGAAGTGAAGTGCAAGGATAAAAAATGATCTAAGTTGAACTGCTAGCTTAGTATATATCGAACATGCCCTTAAAATATAAAGAAACAAATAAGGCCATAATAATAATAATGATGATAATACAATGTGACAGGAAGTAACTGAAGAAGTATAGCGCAATTATGAGGAAGAGAAATGACCAACCGTCGGACAACCGGAGAGGAGTAGGGCAGCCGAATACTCGAGAATGCCGGAGAGGAGTTGAGTACGAACCATGGCGTCCATGCATTCTTCCGCCAATTTGGTGGCTTTTTCCAGACAAATGAGGGCACCCTTTGCATCACGAGTCTGGTTTAATGTGGTATATTGGAGTGTTGTTAGGGCGTGATTGCAAGAATAACACATAAAAAGATAAAAATTTTCGTCGTAGAAAGAAAATTTAAGAGTTGTTAAACACCTATGTCAAATTTGACGATCCTGCTCCAAAATAGAAATGCTACCAGTAATAGTGTGGCTTTTAGGACATAAATGGATATAAAGGATCGCCGGGATAAGAAGTACCTGATAACAAAATATTTGTAGAATAACCCCATATACTAAACCATCATTTAGTCAGGTATAGTGTAGATAAAATACAATAAAGTAGATTTTAAAAATGTATTTAACTGTATTCTTTCGAAGTGCAAAGCTATTTTGAATGATCCTAATAGCAGAAGTATTATATGTAAATGCATATCAAATAAAGACATTGGGTGTTGCTTCAGGTAGTATGAAAAATTGATACTAGGTAACAAAATAGTGACTCCAAATAATGCATATGATAATCATACTAGAAGATTGCATTGAGCCGTTTACCTTGTGCTTATAACCTGAGTAGAAATATGTTTCTACGCTTAATTATATGAAAAAGTTTATCCAGCAAAAAGTGTACCAAGTGTACTAGAGGACAAACTCAGAACGAATACGCTAGATTGTACTCATTCCAGAATGAGTGTGTCAATATAGCATGAGTTTGCGTAAACTCATCTGTTTGCTCAGTTCTATTTATGAATTTTGATTAGTTATAATGACGTATAAAGATTTGGATAGAAAATAATACAGTGATAACCTACCGAGTCTTTGAGCTGTGTGGGGCAAGCAGGTTGCCAAAACAGTAGCGAGGTAAGCAACACTGCTCGACTTTGATCAGGCCTACGCAGTAGATGGCCAGCGGCACGCATACACTGCATACGAAGAGTGGTGGCACTATCGACATCGAAACACTTCATATTACAAAGAGTTCCCGTTATAAGGCTAATAGCGGATTGTTGAGCACGCGACTCAGAAACGGCCTCTTCATATAGAGTGAATGCCTACACCAGAAATCACAGGAGATAAACGAATTAGTAATGTGAGAGGGAGTCAGCAACAGAGCAAAAAACACCAGAAAAAAGGGTAGTAAAGTGAGTAAAATTTATTCAAGAAACATTTCTGAATCAGCTAAAGAGTAGAATAAAAATAACGTGGAGCTTTATAAGGGTGTTTATATAAAAGACAGTAAACAATACTGGTAAATAATTTATCCTTTGACCTCCCGTTCTTCATAAAGCAACATTAAACCTTACTAAGTCCTAAAAATGGAAATTGAGAGAAGTATGCTTTGCATATTAGTGACATGGAATCGATTTCTCGAGTACAGTCAAGTCTAATGAATACCATGAAGATCGGTGAAAAGTAATTTACGCCACATTATTAGATAAAATACTTTAATGTAGCTAGCAGTAAATCAATGCAAGTTAGCAATGAAGAAGGTTAGATGATAGGAAACATGATCATTTTCAGTCTGTTAGGTGCCCAGTCCTTTTGCCAGAATCGTCAGTGGCCCGTGCCAATCTTAGCAACAGATTTCAACAGGCTAAATAGACTAGATACGACCATCTATCAAATAACTTCCTGCTGAATTTTTTGTATAAAGTAGGGTTTCGAGACTATTAGTAAATCAATTATATGAGATATATACACCCTATTTCGTTTAAGGTGATGCATTTCCCCACAATGATATGAATACAGCTGACGCTTCCAGTGAATTTCACATTGCCTTGCTTTCCCACAAATACCGGTCTTTTGACTTGACACACTACTTCATTCAGCTGCAATTCATTAAGTCTCTGATATGAGATCAGTTGGAATGCAACAGGAAGACGGACCTCATACGGAAAACATACAAGGAAATTAAATATTTCAGAGCCCATCAATTTATTTCCTGAAATAAATATGATAAACTGGAAATTAGACGAAGGCATAATTAGCAAAATTTTGCTAATTGCTAAAGCAAACTCAGGAAGCAGCAAGATAAGCAGAAGATGTCTGGACCAAGAATCTACTTCACACCAGAGGACAAGGAATCGCAAGGAATAGAAACGCGAAATACAATAGGAAATAAACAGAAGGTAATTGCCAGTAAAACAGCTACAGCGTTTAAAGGCTTTCCACATAAAGTAATCAGGATAAGGAAAATCAGAAATCCTATAGGAATTTGCTATTATGGCTAGTAGGGCGTAGCCAGTTCGACTACAGATACATTTGAGAGA